CCAGCGGGATGCGGGGCAGGGGCTGGGGAGAGGGGCACCTCCAGCTCCACGGCCAACGGGTGGGCGCAGGGGGGCTGCGGAGGCCGCGGGGGAGAGACAGCCTTCCTCCTCCTCTCCCTCCTTTAACGCTGCCAGGGCGCCGTAGCTCAACCCACCACCCCAACAGCAGCTCCTTGCCCTGCTCCTTGTCCCTTTGGCCTCCTTCCCCGCAGAGGACGGTGCGTCTCCCCCGTCCTCCCTGTGTCCCCCTGGCCTTCCTTTGCCTCCCTCCCCACCCTGGTCCTTTCCTCTGAGAGACAGCCTTCCTCCTCCTCTCCCTCCTTTAACGCTGCCAGGGCGCCGTAGCTCAACCCACCACCCCAACAGCAGCTCCTTGCCCTGCTCCTTGTCCCTTTGGCCTCCTTCCCCGCAGAGGACGGTGCGTCTCCCCCGTCCTCCCTGTGTCCCCCTGGCCTTCCTTTGCCTCCCTCCCCACCCTGGTCCTTTCCTCTGGGGTGAAATTCAGCCTCTTTTCTCAGCGTTACTAGGAAACGAGGTGGGCCGTAGGCACCTCTCTTCTCAGGAAAGCGCTGAGGACCGAAGGTCTCCAAGAGGCAATGCCGGTTATGAAAGCACCGGGTCCGGGAGTATTTTCACATGACCAACACACCATGCTGACACCCATCTCCAGCTCCCCTTTTCTGCCTGGTTCCTCTCAAAGCTCTCCAAGAGCCTCCAAGGGCCACCTGCTACTTTTTTGGGCAAAAGCACTGACTCGAGCATGGCCTGGACGTTGTTTTTTTTTTTGCAGGGAGGTCATTGCCATCCCCCTTTTTGAAGGAATGACTTTTTTTAGGTAGGGGCGGCACAGCATCCGCTGCCCTGCCAGGCCAGGCCTGGGCACCTGCGCCCACCTGGGCCCCGACTGAGGCCGAGCACATCCGCGAAGGATGGGGGAAAGTCGGAGGCTCGTTCTAGGTAGGAAGCGCCGGCTGGCCTGTTTGGTTTGCCCTTACGGTAACATTTCCTTTGCACGTCCTTCCATTACATCGCTTGATCTACCCACCACTAAAATGCAATTATCACAACTCTGTATTTTTTTTCCCCCCTCCTCTTCTCCCAATGGCTCTTGCCCTCTGGTGAATTTTGCATTGTGCCCCAAATGTTGGCAACCGATGCAAATAACAATAAAATATGCTATTTTTTTTTATTATTATTATTCTAGATTACTTTTTCCATCGGGGGCTCCCTTGCCGCGGCTGCACGCAGAACAGAGTGCATATGTATATGAGCCACCGAGCAAGAGCAGGCAATCCAACCCAGACTGCTGATGCCGGGTGCTTGACAGCTAATTTCCATTTTCCAGTATCAGGGGGTCTGCTCCAGTAATTGGCATGCAGATTGTGTCTGATGGGCCTGTTATACACAAGAAAAGAATCTGCTAGTTAGAATAAGCCAACCCGAGGCTGATGGATGGGGCAGAAGGAGGTCATGCGAAAGAGAAAATACGGACACCCGTGCGCGCGCACCCGCACGTATGGAATTTCACATCTCACATCCTCTCCCCCCCTCTCGCCCCGCCACCACTTTCCTTATCCGCAAACTCTAATCTATCTTATTTCATTGAGACAAATCCTGCTCCGTTTCTCTCTCTTTCCTTTTTCCCTTGAAGGGAAAATGTGATGGAACCTACTCCTGGATTTAATAAGAAGATGGCGGGGCATCGCAGGAATTAAAGCGGTGCCATGCTTCGTTAGCAGCTGGGGATCCTATGGAGCTGGCCCAGATGTTAATTACACTTGGGGAATTAATTGGTATAAGGCGTCCCGCTCCTCCATCATCTGTAATCCATTGGGCGTGTGAGGAGGTCTCGAAGCAGACATTGCAACGCGGGCATCTATCTCCCCTCCTTGGTCTGTCGGCCAGCCTGGCCGTGGATGACGGGGAAAGGCAGAGAAGTGGAGCTTTCCCCCCGCAGAGCTCATGCTGCCAAGGAGAGGTGAAGTGTCCTCGTCCTCGCCAGCCCTGGGGCATGCATCTCCTTGCAAGTGGGGCGAAACGGTCTCCAGAGTGGCTGGGACATGCTGGCCGTCCTCTGGGGCAGCCGACTGGCACCAATGGCTTTTTTGGGGTGCGAGTCACTGGCTGGGCCTAACCACCCTTTGAGGGCAGAAATCTTGGAGTCAGCCTCTCCCCTTGACCGGTTTAACCCTCCCTAAAGACCAGCTGCTATTTGTTCCCCACTTGCTTTCTGTATGCTTTTTCTCCAAACGTTTTCTCACACTGCTTGGTAGAAGTAGCTCCAGATGGGAAGCAACAGCAGGCTGTTGTGATGCAGGAGCTGACACCACTTGGAAGGAGGCAGGAATGTCACCCTCAAGGCTGGCTGTCCCCAGACCATTCCCAGCACCATGGCCCAGGACACCACACAGATGGGCTGGGGGATGATGGTGCAGGGCATGATGCTGGTGGCCTCCCCTTCTCCTCACTCCGACCTGCCCTTGGGCTTGCTGGGATTCAGTCCCGGGGTCTCCTCCTCCGGCTGAACCAGAGGGGCGCTTCTTTGGCTGGGTTGACTGCAGGGCGCTGGCGCTGCCACTTTGCCAGAGCTGGACCTGTGGCCACGGAGACCCCCATCCCTTCCTGGCTGAGGGCAGCAGTGCTGTGCCGGCAGCCCCCAGCTCGGGGAGCAGACCCACGCTGGATGGAGGGCCTAATTCGGATCCTGCAGAGCATCTCTGCTGCTGAACTCCCCCCGTTCTCAAGGGAAACCGGACTCCCATCACTTTTCTTCCCTCCTCCCTCCCTCCTTTTACTGACAAAATGTAAAAGCCGTTAACAAGATGGGGGGGGGGGGGCTTCATGCCAGAGGACAGAAATGATATGGTTGCAAATGAAGACTATGCCTCTGAATGCTGTCAATTTGTTCCTTTTCTGAGATGGCTGGTGGAAGCCCAGTGTGGGGCACGGTTATCTCTGCGACGAAGCATCACACCTTTGGGTTTCCGCCTGGGCTCAATGAGATTGCTGCACAGCCTCAGTGGGACACTCGCACTCGCATTTGCCCAAAATATCTCAAATTGCTCCCAGGCCCTAATGGAGCGAGCATGCCAGCACAGCGGCCGCAGCGGGGGCTTTGGCCTGCAACCAGCGGAGCAGGGCTGGGAAGCACTGTGTGTTGCCCTTGCCCAGCCTCGTGAGGAGGGTTTGCCAGCCCCAGCGGGCGAAGGGGGGTCCTGAGGGCCCACGTCACAAGCACACGAGGCCAGGGCACGTGCTGTCCCCTCATCCCATCCTTGGCACCCAGGGGCTATCTTCTTCTGTGCCCTAGCTGGACTGAGGTGGTCTCACGTGGGTGCAGGACCACATTCACTGGAGGGATCACCAGTATAACTGAGCTGCCATCAGACACGGACCAGGTGCCAGCAGCAAACGGGTGCTCACTTGTGCGGCTCCAGTTCACCAGCACGCAGCAATGAAGTCTCTCAGGACCAGCTTCAATGTCCTTCATTTCATGATTCCTTAATGAAGACTGTCCTCTCTGGCTTTGGAGTTTCCCTCCTCAGTGTGCTCACACGCAGCTTTCACGTTCTCTCATTTTTCCAGGTGGCCAGACCCCGTTTCCTTCAGTCTCCTCTCTCTGATAGTGCCCTGCTGTCCTCACTATCCCTCTCCAAACCAGCTCTTGCTTCTGTTCATCCTCCTCAAGCATAAGCTGTTTGGAGAGCTCCGCCAGAGCTCCCACCTCAGCCTGGCACACAGCTGTTTTTCTTCTATCAATTGGAAATACTTCCTTTGATGCAGCCAAGGGTTGTATTTGTCTTTGTTCAGGGTGACACAGCTCTGGTGACTTACAGTCATGGCAAGATCAGTCCACGATCCCATGTTTGTCCTCCTCTTTTGAGATTTTGAGCCTCATTCCTTCCCTGGGGTGCCCATCCTCAGGATTACGTGTCTCTCCTCTCTATGTTGCTGATGCTCTTCAGTTCTGAGTCAAGAGGGAATTTAATGCACCCACCTTCACCGGGGAAGGTCTCTAATGACCCAAGTCACCTCCCTTTCATGCAACACTTTGCCATCTCCTCCTTAACTCCATACTTACTGCACT